TATGTTAAAATGTAATCCCCAATGCAATAGTATTAAGAAGTGGAGCCTTAAGGAGGTGATTAAGTCATGAGGGCAGATCCCATATGAATGGGATTAGTGGCCTTATAAAACAGGCCCAAAGGAGCTTTTTTGCCCTTTCTGCAAGTACATAGCAAGAAGGCACAGCACAGTCTTTGAAGCAGAGAGTGATCCCTCACCAGACACCAAATCTGTTGGCCTCTTGATCTTGGAGTTTCCAGCCTCCAGAACTGTGAGCAATAAATTTCTAATGTTTATAAATTACCCAGTGCAAGAAGGCACAGCACAGTCTTTGAAGCAGAGAGTGATCCCTCACCAGACACCAAATCTGTTGGCCTCTTGATATTGGAGTTTCCAGCCTCCAGAACTGTGAGCAATAAATTTCTAATGTTTATAAATTACCCAGTCTAAGGTATTTTGTTGTAGCAGCCCCAATGGACTAAGACATCGAATCTGATTTTTTTCAGGTCGAGCTAGTCACCTTCCACCTGCTCTGTTACAACCAATGTCACGCTGTACTACAACAACATGTCTTGTATGCTTGCCCTGTGAGCATTTTGATGGCAGAGACAGTGTATTTAATTTATAATAATAACTGCTACTATTTGCTTTGTGCTTACTACGTGCTAGGTACTGAACACTTTTATATTCCATTTAATCCATACTTTTTTTTTTTTCCTTTTTCTGTGTCCGGCAACGGATCACAACCCTCAGTGTTGCCCCCGTACCGGACCAGGACCGGCAACGGGATCGCAACCCTCGGTGTTGCTCCCGCGCCTCGCTCAGCCAGTGAGCGGGAACCAGTCTGTATGTGGGATCCGAACCCTCGGCGGGAGCGCTGCTGCGCTTCCCAAGCGGCGCACTATAGCAGTGCGCCACCGGGCCGGCCCTTAATCCATACTTTTATGTCAATTAATCCACACTTTTATGACATACGTACTTATTTTATTTTTGTGGCTGATTCGTACAGGAATTTGAACCCTTGGCATTAGTGTTATAACACTGGTTCTAACCAACTGAGCTAACTGGCCAGCTCACATAGGTACTTTCTAAAAATGCCAATTTCAAAGATGAGAAATTTAAGGCTCAGAAAATTTAAATTGTCTTGCCCAACATCACACATCTGAAGCTAGACCTGGAATGAGAATGCAGGTGGGTGTGATTCCAACTGCTTCATCTCATGTCTGGCTGGCTCTCAACAGACACTCAGTGATTATGGGGGTAATGCAGCATTTCTCACTATGTTATGAGATTGAATTTCAGAGGGCACACAGAATGCAATGTGAAAAGTTATTCCTATTTCAGTTTCCTTTAGTCCTAATTTCCAGCAGAAAGTTAGTTTGGTATTGGAAGTTCTTTAACATCTAACACTTGGCAAACCCTTTTGAACTAAGAGAGAACAGGCTCAGAGTCTTTAACAGGCAATAGATAAAATTTAATAACTGTTGTTTTTCTTTTCTTTTTTTTTAAACATATATTTGTGGTGTACAGTGTGTGTTTCAATACATGTGTATACTATACGTTGACTCACTCAGAGTAGATAGAATAACTTTGTATCTGTTAATCCAACACTCCCCTGCCCCCCTCCCCTTCCCTTCCAGCCTCTGGTAGCCATTATTCTACTCTCTACTTCTATGAGAGCCTTTTTTTTTTTAGATTCCACATGTGAGTGAGTTCATGTAGTATTTGTCTTTTTGTGCCTGGCTTATTTCACTTAACATGATGGTCTCCAGTTCTACCCATGTTGCTGCAAGTGACAGTGTATTAGTTTTTATTGCTTATAACAAAATACCTGGAAATGGGTAATTTATAAAGAAAACGAAATTTAGCGCTTACAGTTTCAGAGGCTGCTAAGTCCAAAGTCCAGTGAACACATCTGGTGATCTTACACAGAACCACATCTGTGTGGTCTTATCCTGGTGGTGACCTCAGCAACTCAGGGTATCACATGGCGAATACGGTGCAGCAGAGAGAGACTGTCATGTGTTCTCCTTTTAAAGCCCTCAGAACCACATCCATGACTACCATTATTAATCCATTCATCAGGGCATGGTCCTCAGAATCCAATCAGTTTCTAAGGGCCCCACCTTTCAATTACCATAATAGGATTTCCCATTCTCTAAACAGTTACAGTGGGGATCAAGCTTCTAATACATAAAACTTGGGAGACACAATTCAATCCATGTCAGACAGCATTTCATTTTTTTAAGTAGCTGAATGGTATTCCATTGTGTGTGTATATATATGTATCACAGTTTTTTAAATCCATTCATCTGCTGATGGACATTAAGGTTGAAGTGTTGCAATAAACATGGGAGTGCAGGTGTCTCTTTGAAATATTGATTTCATTTTTTTTGGATAATGAAATCCCAGTAGAGGGATTGCTGGGTCATAGGTAGTTCAATTATTTATTTTCTGTCTTTGTGATAATAGCCATTCTTACTGGAATGAGATGATCTCTCAGTGTGGTTTTAATTTGCATTTCCCTGATGAGTAGTGTTGTTGACCATTTTTTCATATGCCTCTTGGGCATTGTATGTCTTCTTTTGAGAAATGTCTATTCAGCACATTTGCTCATTTTTTTATTGGGTTATTTGGTTTTTTACTGTTGATTTGTTTGAGTTCCCTAAGTATTCTGTGTTCTGGATATTAGCCCCTTGTCAGATGCATAATTTGCAGACACTTTTTTTTTTTCACACTATAGCAGTCTTGTTTTTTTTTTTTTTTTTTTTAACACCTATTGTATTAGTCTGTTTCTGTTGCTTATAACAAAAACATACTGGATGATTTATAAGAAAACGAAATGTATTGCTTACAGCTTCTGAGGCTGGGGAGTCGAAACAAGGAACTCATCTGGTAGTGGTGACAGTGACCCTTCACACTGCAAGATGGTAGAAGCAGAAAGAACTTCTCATGTGTTCTTTTAAAGCTCTCAGAACCACGCCCATGACCACCATTTTTAATCCATTTGCTACAGCATGTTCCTACAATCTAATCACCTCTTCAAGGCCCCACCTTTCTATTACCATAATAGGATTTTCCACCCTCCCAATAGTTACAGTAGGGATTAAATTTGCGGGGGGGGGGGGGGGGGGGGGGGGGGGTAGGAGGAATTCAACCCAAGGCACTCATTATGTCATGAATTTATAGGGAATAAGTTCCAGAGGTTCAGGCTCCTGGCCATTGGTTCTCACAACGTGTTTTTCTCTGGGTGGAGCAGGCTGGCACTTCAGTTAACCCAGTTTCCTTTCTCTTTTGCTTTCTTCTTTTTCTGATCATTTTCCTTCATGTGTTCCAGGAAGCTGTCTTGGCTCTTAGAGTGTTTAATATGCTAAATACCCACATTAATGCTCTTGGCAGGAATCTAGCCCTTGTTTGTCTACAACAATGCCAACAGCATGCTGGGTAACACTGCAGACTCTTTGAGTTTTGCCAAGGTAACATTTTAGGGTCTTCCTTTTTGAACAGTACCCATTCCCTTGATGTCTACAATATCACCTTTCTTGTAGATTCACATGTATGTGGCCAAAGGAACAACTCTGTTTTCTTTTTTTTTTTTTTCCTTTTTGTCTTTTTTCGTGTCCGGCAACAGATCGCAACCCTCAGTGTCACGCCCGTACCGGACCGGGACCGGCAACGGGATCACAACCCTCGGCGTCGCGCCCGCACCTCGCTCAGCCAGTGAGCGGGAACCGGTCTGTACGTGGGATCCGAACCCTCGGTAGGAGCGCCGCCGTGCTCCCAAGCGGCACACTGTAGCAGTGCGCCACCAGGCCGGCCCAGGAACAACTCTGTTTTCTAAAAGGCCTAGAAATAAATAAGTAAAAGTCCTAGAGAACATATATCAGGTGCCTCTCCTCTTGCCCTTTGTATTCATCATTTTGGCAAATTACTGGAAGATGGTGGTTCCAGTTGAAAGGGAAGTTTTTGCACATACTTTCTCCCATTCACTAGGTTGTCTCTTCACTTTGTTGATTGTGTCCTTTGCTGTGTAGAAGCTTTTTAGTTTGATGCAGTCCCATTTGTCTATTTTTGCTTTAGTTGCCCGTGCCTTTGTTGTCTTGTTCAAAAAAGTGCTGCCCACTCCCATTTTGCATAGCATTTCCCCTGTGTATTCTCCTAGTAGTTTCACAGTTTGGGTCTTTGATCCATTCTGAGTTGACTTTTGTGTATGGTGAGATTAATGTTGCAGGGTCTTTTGTGGTTCCATACAAAATTTAAGATTAATAACTGTTTTTTTTTTTTTTCCAATTTAATTCCACTTTAATCTTCTATGGAAAATGGCAGTGAATTTCTATGGATGGTAATGATATAAAATTCTTTTTTTTTTCCCGGAGGCTAGCCAATCCGAACCCTTGACCTTGGTATTGGTATAAAATTTCTCCTTAAACTTGATTAATTGCTTTTGTATGCATAAAAACCTTTAAAAGGAAGCAGAAAAACTGACAATAAGTGTTGCCTCCAGGGACTTTCTGGGTTATTGGGTAAGGAGGGATATTTTTACTTTTTTATGCTGTTCTATAAATTTTTAATTTTGTCACCTAAAATGAAGATGAAACAAACTTGACTAGTAAGATTATTTTAAAATAAATAATCGCGCACATGGTAGTAAAAATATAGCAAACACCGTTGAGGTCTTAAGAGAATGAATGAAGCCAAAGAAACTGTTATGCCAAAAACTTACAGGGCTCAGTTGGTTAGAGTTTGGGGCTGATAACATCAAAGTCCAGAGTTCGATCCCTGAACCAGCGAGCCGCCAAAACAAAACAAAGCAAACTTACGGGGGGGGGGGGGGGGGAGAAAAAAACAATTTACAGTTGAAAGAAAGTGAACGGTGGCCTAGCCTCCGCCCCCGCCTCCGTCTCCGCCCCCGCGTGGGTTTTGGTCCTGTGGCTAAAAGATCCCTCTGCGCACGCGCGGTCTCAAGCCGGCCATTTCTGAGCGTGCGAACGTAGTGCGCAGGTCTGTCTGGGAGCGCGTGCGCACCGCCTCGCGCCCGGCCCGCGAAACCCAGGGTGGACAGGCGGGTGTTGTCTAGGTTCTTGGGGTGATGCCCCTGGAGGCGGGCGGCCGGGAAGAGGCCGAGGCGGGCATCGAAGAGTACGGCCCTGAAGAGTACGGTCGGGAGGAGTCGGACACCGAGGAGTCCGGCCCTGAAGAGCCCGACCCGGAGGAGTTGGACGCCGAGCCGGAGATGGAGGCCGGGCGGCCGCGGCCGGTGCTGCGCTCGGTGAACTCGCGCGAGCCGTCCCAGGTCATTTTCTGCAACCGCAGCCCGCGCGTCGTGCTGCCCGTGTGGCTCAACTTCGACGGCGAGCCTCAGCCCTACCCGACGCTGCCGCCGGGCACGGGCCGCCGCATCCACAGCTACAGAGGTACTGGCGGGCGCGCCGCCCTCGGTCCAGGGCTGCCCCCCGTGCTGTGCGGTGCCTGTGCCGAGCGCGGGGGGCCTTGTGGCGCGAGCTCCTTGAACCCCTCGCCGTCCTGGAAAGCAAGTGATCCTGTTGTTCCCATTTTACGGATGAGGAACTGAGGCCCCAGAGGGGTTGTGGCAAATCCAAGTCGACGCTGCTATAAAGCGTCAGAGCATTCTTCTTTATGAGACTGAATAACTTGCATTTGAAGGTGGTTCCCCCCTTCCACGTGCATTTTATCCCTAAAGAAGTGCCATTCCTAAGGCTCGTCTGTTCAGTCCCGATGTCTCCAGTGGACCAGTTCCGCGTAGGGTCCCCGACATCAAGAACACAGCCCCGTCGGGGAGACATAAATGCACAAATAGACGAGAACAAGCCCGTGTCGTAATTGCTGGAACAGGAACGCAGCACACGGGGCTGTGGGATCTTGGAGCACACCTGCGGTGGGGTGGGGGTGTGTGGTTTCAGTTCAGAAGAGCTTTCCAGAGAAGAAAGGGAGCAGGATAGATAGGAGCTAGCCACCCCAGGATAGGAATTGAGTTTTCTGGACTGAGGGAACCGGGTGGGCTAAACCTTGGGACCTTGGGGGTGGGGGTGCGGGTGGGGGAGCTCAAAAGGTGGTTTTACCCCTAGGGAAATGTGGCTATTGAAAGTTTTTAAGAAAGGAAATGACGTTGTCACACGTACGTACTGAATAGCTCACCCGGGTTGAAAGTGGTTTGGAAGGGGCGGACTACTGGTGAGGAACCGGTTAGGAAGCTGTTGTAAAAACCCAGGTGAGAGGTAACTGGGCCTTACCTCAGGTGGAGGCGATAATCTTCCCATGGCCTTCAGGTAGAGAAGCAGTTTTAGTCTCACTTAAGTCTTACAACCATACTCTGAGGATCCTGATGGATCTTTTCTTTCTTGAAGGTGGTACACGTAATAACTTCTTATGTTAGATGAGGAAGAACACACTACTTCCAGGGATCAGCATTTTTGTTTCTTTTAGCGGGGAGGGCCGCTGGCCGGCACAGGGATCCGAACCCTTGACCTTGGTTTTTTTTTGTTGTTGTTGTTTTTGTTTTTGTAAACATCAGCAATCATTTTTGTAGTCTCCGATTTATATAGAAAATTATGTGAATTTTGTATTCTACAAAATTTATCTACCTGGTGCAATTTAAATTTTTAGGAAAAAACTACTATGAATGTACTTAATGCCACAGAATTTCACACTTAAAATGGTTAAAATGATAAATTTTGTTATGTATATTTTACCAAAATTTTAAAAGTTAGTAGTTTACATTTCTTAAATTTTCTCACCAAATCTTCCAGTAAGTTTATGTCCCAGGCACAAGTTTATTGTTCCTCTCTCCTTAAACAGAATCTTAGGCCTGGGGGTTTGCCTCATTCCTCCTTCCCGTTTTTTGGTATGTGATGTATTTGCTTTTAAAATTTAGTTATAATTTACACACAGTAAAATGCACAAATCTTAGGGTTTGATGAGTTTCAGCCATTGTAACAACACCTAGATCAAGTTATAGATTAAAACATTTCTATCACCCTAATGAGTTCCCTCCTGCCACTTCCCACTCAATCCTCCCTTCCAGAACCAACCATTTTTCTGATTTTTCACCCCGTAAGTTAGTTTTGCTTGTTTGTACTGAATGTCCCCTTTTCTGTCTGGCTTCTTTCTCTCAACCTGCTGTTTTTGCACCTCGTTTTTGAGAAGCGTAGATTTGAGGAGTCAGTGGCCTCGTAGTTTGCAGTGTTTGGTATGATTTGCAATCATGTACTTTACCTACTCTTGGCTTTTCCATCACAGGGCATGGGATTTGTCATTTGTTTTTTTTTTTGTGTGTGTGTGTGTGTGTGTGTGTGTGATTTGTCATTTGTTTTTTTTTTTTTTTTTGGGTGTGGGGGGGGGGGTGTGGTATTTTGTTGTTGTTGTTGAGCTAACTGGCCACCTATTTGGAGCCTCAAGTAATGTTCTTCTGCTTGCCTTGAGTAAGTCATATGCCTTTTTCAGACCTGTTTTCTTATCTGTAAATGGGTTATTTGTTAGGATTGAATGAGATAATGCTCTGTATGACATTTAAGCAGAATGAAAAGTAAACATTTCATGTAGGTCAGGAGAGATGGAGAAAATCGGTGCCCTGACTCAGACCAGTGTGGCTCCTTAACAGCCTCTGTTTGTTTTAACAGGTCACCTTTGGCTCTTCAGAGATGCAGGGACATACGATGGGCTTCTGGTTAACCAAACTGAATTATTTGTGCCATCCCTCAATATTGATGGACAGCCTATTTTTGCCAACATTACACTGCCAGGTACTGATGTGCAGTCTTACTTTTTAAAAAAATAAGGTTGCTGTAACAAGTGGAGGACAGGCCACTTGAAGGAGCCAAGTCCTTACTAATTTTTGCCTGATGCTAGGCAAGGTATCCAACCTTCTGTGTCTTATTTTCCACCATAAATAAAATGGAAGTAATTTATTTGTATGTTCTATATTGAACAATGATGTTTTGGTATCTCAAAAGCACTTTGGGCTCTTAAGAGACGGGCTAAATTAAAGTATCCAATTATTGAATTATGAATGCCTGTTGATTCCCTGGCCTTACAGCAGAATTGTGCCCTGGAGTCCCAGGAGAAGAACAAGGTATAGAGAATGAGATATCGTGGCTTATTTGCTGTTGACTTCTAGTATTGTATTTTTAATTTAATCCAGTCAAGCTCACAGTGCCAATCACAAGTTAAAAAAAATTACACAGTTGAAGATTAGCATCATAGTTCACTATTTGTTTAAGGCTCAAATGATTTTATTAGGTTGAGCCCTAAGAAACTGATGTTATTATGGATAAAAAGCCCTAAATATCAATAGCTTCCCTAGGGTAGCTATAGATATTTGATTAATATGTGTATATAGGTCCTGTTTTAAGGAAGTGGGTATATAGGACTGGATGGTTAGCTTGCTTGGTTAGAGAGTGGGGCTGATAACACCAAGGTCAAGGGTTCAAATCCCCATACCATCCAGCTGCCAAAAAAAAAAAAAACCCCACACAACAACAGAAAAGGAAGTGGGTATACAAAAATGAGCATTGATAAGTTAAATTTGGTAAATTTTCCTTATAGAATACCTTTAAAAAGTAAGTTTCCAGTGAGTTTAAAATAGGAATTGAGTTACCCCCAAATGCAATTACATACTATTTTGGTTATCTATCACTGTGTCCACAACCACCCCAGAACTAACAACCAGCATTTAATTTGTTCATAATTCTGCAGACTGGCCTGAACTCAGCTAATAACTATTCTACTGACTGGTGGTCATTGGTGTGGCCGCCTTTTGCTGGCAGGTTGGCTGGGGCCTGTCCTTCTTTGTGTGGTCTCCCCAGCAGGGTAGCTTAGGGTTCCAAGGTGTGAAAGCAGAAGTTGCCAAGCGTTTCTTAAGGCTTAGGACCAGAATTGCCAGTATCACTTCACCCACATTCATTTAGTTAAAGCAAGTCACAGGTCCCATTTCAGGGGGAAGTTACTACAGAAGGGCTTGAATACCATGACGTGTCCTTTGGAGGCCATCAGTGTAACACACTGCCACAGCACATGCACTCTCCTTTTTCTACCTAAAGTGAGATCCATCTGTTGTAAATGTGATTGCTGTGGTCAACAAAGACTCATGCTCATAGCTTGTTCCAAGGCCTGAGTCTGCCACTGAAGATTTGGTTTTCTGCCCTTACAGTGTATACCCTGAAAGAGCGATGCCTCCAGGTTGTCCGAAGCCTAGTTAAGCCTGAGAATTACAGGAGACTGGACATTGTCAGATCACTCTATGAAGATCTGGAAGACCACCCAAATGTGCAGAAGGACCTGGAGCGGCTGACACAGGAGCACATAGAAAGTCAACAGGTGGAAGAAGAAACTCAAGATTTTCATTGAAATTTGCACTCCTGCATCTCTGTTTTTGATTGTACTGACTAATCTTGATCTAGATATAGGACTGGTCGTGCTCGCTTCAGCAGCACATATACTAAAATTGGAACGATATAGGACTGGTCACTTATTCTTGGTTTCAAGATATCTCATTCTTGCAGTAAAATATGCTCCATTGCTTAGAAGAAAGTTAACCAACTTCACTAGGCATTGTGATGTTTAGGGGCAAACAACATAAAATGTAATTTAATGGCTGCCCTTTCTAGAAGTATTTACCAGGAGAAAGTAGCTGCATTTTAGCCTCCTAGTTAGCCAGGAAAGTTTCTATGTAAGGATGATTATGTAAGTAATACAATGAGAATTGCAACATATCCTTTAAGTGTAAGAAAGCAGTGACATCTGCTTTTAATTGATGTTTTGTGGCTGGTGATGTGCCTGCCTCCAGCTTTGGGAAGACCGAGACGTCCTTGAGGCAGGAACAAGTCTTTCTCCTATGAGACCCCAGTGCCTGGTACATTATGAGCCTTCAGTAGGATAAACAAACCACTGGATGCTTTGATAAGAAGGGTTTGGAGGTTTTCCCTCTTTTTTTGTTGAGGGGGGACTTATATTGTGTACAGTATGTACAGTAAGCAAATGTCTTAAAGGGAATCATTTTTATAGGAAGTACTTTTTATGATTTTCTAAATCTTGGTGCTTTTCTCGGTCCACTATTGTAGTACTGTTTTATTTTTTGTTTCTAAGCCAGGATTGACTTTCTACAGTTATTGTGATAATGACTTTTTTGTAACTTGACATCTGCACAGAAAATAGGAGAAAAGACCTGTCCTCATGTTTAATTCTAGTATTAAGAAGCTACTGTACTGTAAATAAGTTTTTGCCATGTGTGGGTATTTCTGTTCCTTTTTGTAAGTCCATGACATTTCCATGTGGTTCATTGTTTTTCATCACGCAGGATCTGGTGACACTTTGCACCCAGCTGGAGGAGAGACTGAAGCTCTACAACTTCTGGCAAGTTATTCTTAACATAGTGGGTTCATGGAGTAGTCTGGAATGTTTTTATAGTTTTATGAATGTACTTAAATTTATTAACTCAAATTCAGTACTTCTATCAGACTTACTTTTTTGTAACTAATAGTTTTTTTCTTTAAAATTTCCCCCCAGTTGGGCCGAGCCCGTGGCACACTCAGGAGAGTGCGGCGCTGGGAGCGAAGCGACGCTCTCACTGCGGGTTCAGATCCTATATAGGAATGGCCGGTGCGCTCACTGGCTGAGCGCGGTGTGGGTGACACCTCTCCAAGGGTTGCGATCCCCTTACTGGTCACGAAAAAGGCAAAAAAATAAATAAATATAAAATATAAATAAATAAATAAATAAATAAATAAATAAATAAATAAAAATCCCCCCAGTAGAGAAAAATTTAGA